CCGAGAAATACACAGAGGTATTGAGAGATTCTTAAAAGAGATAAATCCTTGTCCTGATACTGATTGGAAACAGGGGGAAAAAAAAAGAATAATCTTCAGTATTGTGTAACCCTAGTACTTACCATGTTGATGAGGCACTTGTGTGTTGATGCTTGGAAAATAGCATCTACTTTGCAAATGAGGAACGTGTGAGGTACTAGAACCACGTATCAACATCTTAGATGTTCTAGAATTCAAATACACACTCGATGGGTATGCTGATTCCATTTAGAATCATAGTCAGACTCCCGAGTGAAAACCAGCACCATGAGTAGAAAAAATAAAAAGTATGACCAGCTCAAAATATGAAAGTAGAGAAGATTAGAAAAGTCCATTACGAATTTCAAAGTATAATAATAATAATAATAATAATAATAATAATAATAATAATAATAACAATAATAACAACAATATAAATAATATAAGCCTTGCTTCAAATCTACTCTCAAATCTAATACGGTATTCATTTCTGTTACTGTATTGCACGTTCTGTAATCTACCTTTTGGTACCATTAATTTGCTTGCTAGGATGGCAAATAACGACATATCAAAATAACTTTTGAGCAATTTTATCTGGTCGTATCATATGGAACAAAATTCACAACAAATATCAAACAAATCAAAATTCAAAACTAATATCAATCTTCTAGAAATAGTCAAATAATCAACAAAAAATCACAAATAGCTAAACACACAAATTAATAAAAATAGGAATCTTCACCAATATCAACCAAAAAAATCAAAGTAGCAATTTTCAACAATCAAACAAATTCCAAAAACATCAATCAATTATCAAATTCCAAAATAACACGAATTCCATAAACTAATTTCTATTTCACAAATTAAACTTCAAATTAAAATTTCAAAAGCAAAACTTCAATAATCTGTAAACCCAACTTCAACTTCAAACAAAAATGACGAAAACAATTGAAGCTCTTTTCATTCTTATAGTCAACAACCGCAAGCTCGGGTGAAACCTTAACAAAAATCTCCTTTGTCACTATACTTTTTTCTATTTCCCCCTAAATAGATAGACCTGTTTATAATCCCCATTATCCCCCTCCTCAATGTCTCTATCTCATATTCACAACGCAAACCCATTTTGCAAATTTTAACAACCACATATCCCAAACAACCATTATTAACAAATGAGTTAATATTTGTAAAATCTAAAGCAACCTGCTTTGAGATTTGTAAAATCTAATAAATCCTCATCATAGAAGTGAAGGGAAATCAACGATTATAACAGAAATGTAAAAGACTTGGTTTTTCCACCACTAAATCCGAACTTGAAACAAAAATTACAAAAATTACAAACAGAAAACCAACCGTGAAGGAGCTTGGCTTGCAGGTGGCTTGAACGGCTGACGCCATAGGAGAGAATAGTGACAGAAGGAGACAAAGCAAAACAAAATGAATAGATATATAAACAAATCGAAATTTCCAAATAAGATGAAAAGTTAAAGAATTACTGCCGAGTCTAAGAACAAAATGCACAGAAAAAAACAATTTCAAAAATAGACGAACAACGAAATATACCTCTTACACAAAGATTCAGACGAACCAGAGGTTAACTATGCCCTAAACAACTAGTTACGGTTTCTGCTAATATTTCCTCGGTACATCCATTCTATCCTCTCGCCTCGCTCTCGCTAACCTCTTGAAGGAAAGTGAAAGTCAGCTCACTCAGAGCCTCTTGGCGTTCCAAGAAAATGGCGTACCCTGCCCAGGCCCAGCACCATCGCCAGTGTGATTTTTATGCTAGCAAGGGTACGTGCCGAATAAGATTTTTCCTAATATCAATATTTCGTTTCTACGGAGAAAATTATCAATTTTTTGTAATAAGATTTAAGAGATGCAATGTAAATAAATTTAATAGTTTGATTCAATTATAAAAACGAAAATAATTGTTGTAAACACAAGTAAATAAATTCACATTCAGTTATCAAAGGAGAAAATCAATATATGTGAAGGACTGGGACTGAATTTCCCCTTCACTGCAACTTAGGCTATTTATGTTACGACTTTTGCTACAACAATGATGTCAGTTAACCTGAACACGAATTTTACACAAGGATCTCCTGACCTACTTATGATTTCGCCTCTTTACTCATATTTCAACATATTCCTTGAGAAATCTAAACATAGAGGTCAAGTTAAACATAGGTTTCAATTGGGCTATGTAAGACAAGTGTATATTCATATACTACTCACAAATCAACTAGATTTCTTTGTGAAATTTAGCTAAACAACACATTGTTCAATATTGGTCTAATTCCAATCAACTTTCCAACAAACTGAACTCGTAATATTTTGTTTAAGATAACCAGTCAGTAAACAAAAATGAACGATAAAAATTATATTGAACAAACTATATCAACATTAATATAACAAAAGTGATCTTACACAACTTTAATTATAGATCCGGGTACTTTATCATCCCAGCCAAGTTAATTTAGCTCATACTCATTCTGTTAAGTTTAACAAAATAAACAGTCATGATTTGAATACAGAGGAAGAGGAAAGATAAACCAAAATGAGAAGAACAACAGTAAAGACTAGGTGAAGCTTGGTGGTCTCCTCCCGTGTCTTCACTCCTTGAGATTTCTAGCCAAATTCGTCTCCTCCGTACTTGTTTTCCTTTCTTTCTCTCTCATTTTTCTTTTTACTCTCTGCTGCTTGTTTCTTTTACTCGGGTGCTCTCTGGTTTCTATTTTCTCCTCTTGCTTCCTTAATTGCTTCCTACGGCGCCCCTCTCTCTTTTTGTGAGTTTCCAAGTGCATTCCTCTTTAGGGCAACCAAGGATGCTGAGGTGGCACATACTCATATGTTGGGTCTAGCTGACTAAGCACCAAATCCGTCTTATGCGCTCTTTGTCCTAATTCTCGTGCAAAGTTATGCGCTGACGTCATCCACTAACTGCATGCTGTCACATTTTTGTTATAGCAAATGCTGCAGCATTTATCATCACAAAACCTACAAATCAGAAACGACACCCTTTTGGACACAAGTTAGCAATTTTCTTCCAAATTAGCACAGAAACCGCACACAAATGACTCTCTGTAGAGTGCACCACATGAACCAAAAGTTGAGTAAATAAAGCAAAAAATTAACAACTAAACCTTTGGATGAGCCAACTATAAGCCTAGAAATGCCTAAAATAACTCTAATTCCTAGAGTTATTAGCCAACCCGTTTGTCGATCTACTAGGCCGACATTGCAATCTAGGGCCCATCAGAGGGGAAATTCGGCCCCGCTCTCACATTCCCAAATTTACTCACCTCAAAATAGTTAGAGCCATTTTGTTTCAAGGGTTTGAACCTACAACATTTTTTTTAATAAAAAATTTGAATTTCTATTCAAATCTGTTTATAATTTTGCTTCTACTTTTAGACAATAAAAGAAGAAAAGTATAAACTAAGACTTTTTAATTGCTATTTTGATAGTACACGTAAAAAAAAAAGAATTTAATTTTAGAAAACTTTTTGAATTTATTTGGTTAAATAAATCAAAAGCCCTTATTGTTATGAAAAATAGAGGTTAATCTCATAAATAATTCCCGATTTTCGCTCCCAATCCCACTGTATTTTCCTTCCTTGATCTATCAGCTTGTTTTATTTTAAGTCATTTTCCTCAGTTGGGTGTTAAAAACATTTACTACTTGGTTAGCATAGTTTTATTTTACACTTTTTTGTGTTAGACTCACGTGCATATTTTGTGTTCTATCAATAAATTATTATTCTCTGTAAGCATCATGTACATACTGTCCTGTTTTTAACGAAAATGATTAAAACTAAAACAAGCTAATAGATCAATGATGGAATTTGAGATATTTTGAAAGTCATGGACTAAAGTGAGTGACATATAAGTCAGAGCCCTTCTGTGTAATTAATCTAAAAAGTAAATGTAGGATAAGAATATAGATGTATTTTCAATTTCTTATTATAAATTTTTTTGATAAGCTCTTTAAGCATTAAACAGTTAACTTATTCCAAAAGAACTTGTAAAATGTCAAAAGCTCTTTGAGTGTATCCGCTAAATAGATTTAAAAGTAACTTTTAGATTAAATTAAGTTAAAATATATACATATATTTATTTTTTGCGCCATTCTAAATAGGCCCTAGATATTTTTTTATGTAGTAGACTTTTATAGTGCCAGAAAGACAATTCTAAGCAATGTTTTGAGAATACGACAACTTGCACATTTTATGTTAAAACTCATGAATTTTGACAGTTAGTTATATATATAAGTTATGATAAACTTTGTGAATTTCAAGTAGAACACGACAACTTGCACATTTGGAGAATATACTTACAAATTTTGAACATTAAAGTTGTAAAAATTACGAAAAACGAAAAACTTATGAATCAACATTAGTGCCATAAAAACAGGACCCTTTTAATATGCTATTTTAGTGGAACTATTTCTCTATCATTTCTATAGGGAGTGGAATTGGACCAGAACATCTTTTCGTAAGCACAAATAGACTGAGGGAAATAAAGAAAATAATTTTATTATGTTGATGTGAAGATTCACATCATTTTAGATTCTATTTGAATCTTGTCCGAAAACTAAGAGCGCACACACACCAAACAAAATTTCTGTCAACTCCAATCCATATGATAAAGATAAACCATTTGTTATCTGGGCTGCTTTCCTTGTGTTTGTTGTGGAGGTGGAAGAGTGTACAAGGATTTCAGCTGCCTACTTATGATCTTACTGTTGTGAATAGCCATTTGAAGTTCCAAGTCATCAGACCACCACTGCTCCAATCCATGAGCCTCTAGAAACTTCTGGTTTCCCTTTGACATCACAAACAGCTTAGCCGTCATTTGCCCATTATTTCTCGGTCCCACATTCTCTTTATCACCACTATTGTTGTTTTCTTCTGTTCCATCAGAGTCAGTATAAGAGCAACAAATATAGTCACTTTTATTTACATACAAATGAGGCACCCATTCCCCCAAAGCCACACCAGAGTTCTTCAAACCATATAAACTTGGCATCCAATTCTTCAATCCCACTCCATACGAAGAAGAAGAATTAGTAGTAATATTTTCATCACTACTCTTATCTCCTCTTTCTTCCTCAGTTTCACTACTTGAAGAAGAAGGAAGCATGGATTTGAGTCTCTTCCAAACAAAACCAGTCTTTTCTCCAATGTTTCTTAAGCTCATAGCCAGTGAAACAGAAGGTGGATTGAACAAATGTGTGTCAACATAAATCCCTTCTTTGGCCAAAGCTTTTCCCACTTGGAGAGCAAAACCAGCCCCTAGAGAATGCCCTGCAACACACACATTGCTGCTTCCATACTTTTCCGCCACTGATTTCAATGCCTCCAAGGCCACTTTGAATCTCACTGATCCCTTCAAGCTTTCCCAAGCAAAGAACCGGAGATCGTCCTCAACGTCCCTCCAAATCGTTAGGCTTTTGAGCAGTGTTCCTCTAAGGGCCAACACAGCTCTTGGTGCACCACTTGGCCTGATTAGTACTAAGTCAGCTAGAGCTGCGGATCGGTCCCATTCTAGTATTGCCCCAAAAATGGACCTGTCTCTTTCGTCGATCAAGGTCTGGGATAACTTGTACTTGAAGGGCATCCACCATTTTGGAGCAAGAGCATTTTCTTCACTTTTGTTCTCTTGTCTGTCAAGTTCAAGCAAGTATACTGCCTGTATGAAACAAGCAATTACTGTCCTTTTGTAGTTACCATCTTTCCTGTGATGATAAGTTGAAGATATTCAGTTATTGGATGATTTTTAAAAAAAAAAAATGTTTTCCCTAAACTATATTGAAACCCCTGAAATATTCCATTGTCAATATTGTTTTGACTAGATAATAATATTCCTTTCCAAACTAGGCACTAATCTAAGAACTCTAACATCAAGAAATAATGCCAGCATTTGATTTGACTATAGTCCGATAAAGTATTATTATACTGTAATAAATTATGCTAAACAAAGCAAGAAAACAAATAGAATCTGTAGTAAAGTACATTCATCGGATATCAAATGGAGAATTACCAAAAATATACCCCGAAGAAAAACGAGATAATATAGGACCAACCAAAAAAAAAAAAAAAAGAACGACAAATAAAGTTCTACGAAATTGTAAAAAATAAATTGCAAGTGCTAATATATGATCAATTTAGTATTACCATTTACTAATATCAACTTTTTTTTCTGTTTTATTGCTGATTTCTACTATTATCTCCAGTCAAAAGTAAAATTACAAGTTCGTCATTTCGATAACATAATCCAAGAGCTTTTCACAAACTATCAATTTTGTAACATATCAATTCTAGAAACCGCTATGATTATTCGGTTTTCACAAATTTCCAGAAATTCTTCCAACTTGAAAATGAAATCAAACACATTTGTATATGTGTGTGTATATATTCATGCATATAAGATGAAAGAAATGAGATGGGCACTGACCAACTTGAATTGATAAGGTCTCTCCAATTGGGAGAAGAAACGTTTCGAGGTCCAGAAACGTAAAACGCATATGGGTGAGCCTGATTTTCTCCTCCTTCTACCTCTTTCACTATGTTCTCCTCGGCTCCACGCTTCGCCATTAACGAAGTCACGCAAAAATCTCCTTCACCTCTTCTTCTTTTTCCTCTTTCTCTCTTGGGTTTCTTAGCATGTTAGAGAGAGAGAGAGAGAAGGAGAGAAGATAACTATTCCTTTATGGGAAGGTTTTTGGCTTTTCACTTTGTTGTGTGAATGCTTTTAGTTGGTATCCGATTCGAAGGAGGCTTTGTTGAGGAAATTAATTTCCTTCTTAAAAAAGAAAGAAAGAAAGAAATAAATAAATAAATAATGATTTGAAAACGCCTGGTATTTCTTTCATGTTGTCGGGCTTACAACCGAAATGACCATAATATCCTTATTCTTGAATGTTGTGATTATTTTTTGTTTAATTATTCTCCCGTTCATAGAATTTTATCTAGATAATTTTTTGTGTTCACCATTGAGTGGAAAATGTTACTTTTGCATTTTAATTTAAGAAACACCACTTGTTTCAAATTAAATTAACTCTTTTAAATCATCATTTAAAATCCAAAAAGAAAAGAAACGAAAGCACGATTAAGAAAATCTATAATTAAAAAGGCAAGAAACTTAAAGGGTATTTTAGTCTTAATGACGTGATGCCTTGTGTGGCACAGTGGCAGATTAGCTAGGCATTGGATTTACAAGTTGGATTCAGCTGGTTGGTCAACAGAGTAAAAGAGAAACTAATATGGTGTATTGCATTCCATTATGTGAGAGTATTCATCCAGTGCTTTGCGGACAGATCTTCTCATTTTTCTAATCTGAAAGAAGATATGCATCGAACGGCTCGTTATCACAAACAAGGAAAATTTGCATTAACACACGGTCATGTCAAAATCATAGTGACACCCATGTACTCAAACAAATTGTCTTTTTAGTTCAATTTTACTATTAGTTAATCCTACAAATTAAAGGGTATATTAGTAATTGAAAGGTTTTACCTGTAGACTTTATTAATCAGCCTGCTTAGTAAATAAGTTCTAACTAAAAAGTTTACCCGTTCACTTCGTTAATTCGAGTTTTTAATTCGAGTTGAGATGTGACTTTATGTAAGAGCTTTTTACTGTAGTAAAAAAGTTAGATGTGATTATTTCTGAGAGCTTTTTACTGTAGCAAAACTCGAATTCTAAACTCGAATCGACGAAATGAACGGGGCCGATCGTTCACTTTGTGGATTCGAGTTAAGATGTGACATTTTCTGATAACTTTTCACTGTAGTAGAAAAAAGTTAAATGTGATATTTTTTAAGAATTTTTTACTGTAAAAACTTAAAACTGAAAACTCGAATCGGTGAAATGAATAAGGCATTTATTAATCAGCCCGCTTAGTAAATAAGTTCGAACCAAAAAGTTTAAATAAATCAATGTTTAACAAGTATTTTTAAAGCTTAGTTTAAACCAACAATTTGGCGTTTAAAACTAAAAATTACCTTCTAGATCCAACTAAGCCAATATGAATTTTGACATACCGCTCACGCATTCCCCCACTATCTAACATCTCCTTCCTATGAGTACCACCAAAGGCCAAAGAACCTGCATCAACATCAAAGGAGCTAGTTAGAGAGAAATAGTTTCTTTGGAAGTCAAGAGGTTCATAGAATAAGTATACGTGCATATTCGTTTGATGATTCACCACCTACCATTCAACTTTTGAAATACAGTTTTCAGGTGATGCTTTCTAGTCGACTTAGACTGATATGCAAGGCCAATTCGAGAGCAGCGCTGAGCCGTTCGATGCTTCCACGTGGCAGTGGGGTCCGGTGCACGAGAATTTCTTTGAAGTTGGCACGTGTCCAGGGGCATGTGTCTCGGGAGAGGACGGGTTCTTGTACATGTGTCGCGCGGGTGAACTGGCAGCATTTAAGGATGCCACGTGGAAAGTGGTGGCTAGTTTGCCCAATGAGGTGAACGAGATCACGTATGTGGTGACATGGCAGGGAAAGCTATTGGTGATTGATACACCGAGGTTCGGTGAGCCCCACACGGCCTACGTGTTAGACACGAAGCCGTACACGTGGACAAAAATGGCAATACCAAAGGCGTTGCTTAGAGCTCTAAAGTGTAAATTTTTATTATGTATTGTTCTTTTAAATAATGTTTTACTAAGTTCAAGTTTGAGGGAGTGTACTGTGTACATATGAGGAATTGTATTAATGTACATATTTTAAATTGCTTGTGCGAGTTTACTCTACACCGCTTTATTAGGTACGTTCCTTTTTTAATCAATATGACATCTCAATTACATTAATGGTCTCCCACTTAAATTAAATGATGGGGAACTCTTTCTAATCAATGCTCTCTCACTTACATTAAATTGGATAGTACACATAATAGGACCAAATTTTGAGGTCCCAAATCACATTTACACATTACATTATATTATCCAGTCCACAAAATACAATGTTATGTATTTCGTAAATGATAAAGAAAAAAAAAGATTTCCAGAAAAAATAAGCAAAAGTAAATACAAACACTCATACATATAACAAACACACATATAAAAGTATGTATGGCACTCAGTAAGATAAAATATGAATGATGCAAATTAAGTAGGAGGCAAGGATGGCAGTCTAGACACAATCAAAGGAAGAGAGAGAGTTGGGGGAGAGTCTTGGTCCCACATAGAAATTCCATCCAAGGACACAAATCTTGAACTGAACACATTCCTAACAATTTCATCATCCCACAGCAGCTTATCCCACCAATCCCTCTGTCCTCTAATTTCCGTCAAACTTTCCTTTGCACTAGTGTTGGAATCAAATGGAAGCTTCTCTAGACTTGGGCAATTCAACACTTCAATCTCCTTCAGTAAAGGCAAGGCCAGGGCTTGCAGGCTTATGTTCTTTAGCCTCGGAAGGCCTTGCAAATGAATCGTTGTGAGACACGAGAATGCATTCCGATTTTCATGTCTAATTTCCTCCCCGGAACCATCACTCAGAACTTCTCTAATTGATAAGCAGTCGATGACTTGGAGAGTTTGAAGTCGTTGAGCGTAAATGAGCCAATTCATTTCCAACATTTCACACTGAACGACCACAAGAACGCGAAGGTTTCGCATTTGTTCAAGCCCTGTGATTCTTGAGGTGCTGGGAATGTGCCTGTTGGGTAGAGAACCTTGCATCGTTTTCTGTTCCACATCGATTCGAAGAGGATTGGCATTCCATATCTCAAGAGTTTCCATATACTCCAATCTGCTGAGAGATGAAGTTGATATGTTGAATGAAGTGAAACACCACACAATTGTGAGATTTCTGATGCACCAATGTAACTTACTACTGTTTAGTAGTTTTTGAACAGAGAGGGAATTAAATATGGTAATACATATATCCTCAATGAGTCCCAAGAACTCCAACTCTTCCAACAAGGCCCTTTCATCATATTGTGGGCAGGAGTTCATATGACTAGGGCTTTGTAATCTACTAAACACTTGCAAAGATGGAAGACTTGACATAACTTCCCTTGGGATATCAATTAGACTATAAGTATCATTTAGTAATAAACACTTCAATTTTTTGAGATTCTTAATCTCAACAGGCAATGCCCTTAAAGCTGTTCCAGACAAATTGAGATATTGCAGGTTTCTTAAGTTACCAATTCCCTTAGGCAACGAGGTTAGACTTTCATTACCTGAGAAGTCCAGTACTGCCAAGGCATGCATGGATTCAAACAATTCACTTGGAAATGTCCCCATAAAGGTACCGGTAACTAGCAATGTAACAACCTTGGGACAAAGCATCACACCATCCAGATTCCTAATATCTTGACCCCACAAGGATATCCTTTCTGCTTCCTTCCATTTTACAAACTTGTTTGCCCCTGCGGGCCTTACACTCTCTTTAACAAGATATTTGTTCTTCTTTTGGCCGCGCTCACAAGCTAACCACAATGCCATGTCACGGATCACATCATGCATCTTCACAAATTCTTCTGATTCGCCACTTTCCAATAAGCATACCAGCTTCAAGGACCAAATAACTTCTTCTCCTTGTTTACGTGCATCATGTATGTCATCGAACTCATCTAAGAACCCCTCTCCTATCCAAAGATCAATAAGCCGAGTCTTTCTAATGCTAGAGCCCTTGGGGAACAAGGAGCAATATAGGAAGCAAGACTGAGTAGTCGCATTAGGCAGGCTATCATAGCTGAACTCAAGAAGATGATAAACACAATCCACAATACCTGAAAAGTTTGAGGGGTAGCTCCTCAATAACTCGATTGCACGTTCCCAATCCTCGAGTTTCTTCCTACTAGCCATGGAACGCCCAACGGTGATAAGAGCAAGTGGCAAACCTTTGCACTCTTCAGCAACAGCTTTAGCAAGGTGTGGTATAGTTGGATGAGAACTTAGAGCTTCTTCTCCGACCTTTTCCAAGAATAAATCCAAGGCCTTCTCTTGTTCCAAGCACTCTACACGAATGCACTTATCAGCCTCCATTTGGCCACACACCTCCTTGGAACGGGTTGTGAATATTACTTTGGAACCATTATGAATATCTGGAATAGGAACCCCGACTTTCAAGAGATCAAACTGCTTCCAGACGTCGTCTAGTAACAACACAAACTTTTTCCCTCGTAAAGTCCTGTATATCGTAATGGATCTTTCTTCTACTCGATTGGATTTCCACTCATCATCTGGGATTTGTAATCTGTCTTGAATAGCATCCTGAATTTTTGATATACTTGCTTCTTTGGATGCCACAACCCAGATGACTACGTCAAAGTCGTTTCTCGTACCAAAAAACTCATTGTTGATCCTCTTCAAAAGCGTTGTTTTTCCAACACCGCCCATGCCATACAAGCCAATGATTCCCACATTCTCGCTCCGAATGCATCTCCAAACCTCAAGCAAGGTCAAGTCCAAGCCCAGGGTTTTTTCCACGGGCATCTCACCCACAAAATTATGCTGCAACTTGTGAGCCACAGTTTCAAATTGTCCTTTTCCCACAAGTTTTCTTACAGCATCTAGCTTTTTAGCCACTCCCTTGCCAAGCGCGTAACTAGACCAATAGTTCTTGGGACAACTTCCAAGACACTTGTTCTGGATTTCTTCATTACCCTTTTGCAGAATTTGATTCACTCCTTCTTCCATGGCTTCCACACTTTCCAACCAGCCCTTCACTTGGTTGGTACACTGAAAGTCTTGTTCCACAGCAAAGTCAACCCTTCTCTTTACATCTTGGCTTATGTTTTTGAGCTCGTTCATGGCGTTACTTAAAGAGGCAACATTCTCTTCAAGATGATGAACATAAGATATACGCTTGCCCGAGCAATCCCACAAGCGAATTACAACGTCCAAAATTGGACTCACGCAATCCATGGCTCTTGTCAGAGCCTTTTGATCAAAACTGAACAACAATGAGCAAAGGAAGAAACACTAGTTAAACAGTTGCAAAAAAAAAAAAAAAAAAAACACAAAGAATAGATGGTTTTGTGCATGTGTGTGATCCTGCTCAAAGAAGAAGAATGAAAGAATAGATGGTTTTGTGCATGTGTGTGATCCTGCTGCGAATAACTAATGTAAAACCGTTCTGAACTTGCCATATTAGCTGAGTTTCAGTGACAGGTGATCAATAAACTGTGGGGGGAAAGCGCAAAATTTTGGAGAGCACCAGAAATTTTGCTCCACTAGACAGTGAACCAAAAACAAAAAAAAAAAGGAAGCCTTTTTCAGCAGCAGATATAAAAGGATGACCAGTAGCAAAGACTGACTGACCTAAGAAAAGCCTTCCAAGGAATCCCTCTTTACTTCAGTAGCCGTATGCACATAGCTTCAGAGCAGGGATCGCTTTCTCAATGGTCCTTAAGTTAGAAAATGATTAAGTGGAAATTAGCATTGGCTTAAACTTCAAGTTCACGGGCAATTGTTGATATTTTGACGAATGGGATGGATTTCTCATCTCAAGCGTTTTAGCCTCAGAAAGGTCAAAAAGCGTATCTAACCCAAGAGATTTGATGGGGTCTTGTTGATCGTAAAGAAATTTTGATAAGGTGCATAGCACGTGTCACAGAAAGAATTGATGGGTATTGCCTAGGTAAATTTCAACTATCATTTGAATTGATTTCTATGTATTAAAAAAAAGACCTCCGGTAGGCTAGCACACCTATACAACTAATTTATAATAGTTAAATCTGTTAAGGAATAGCGTCTTAAAAAAATAAAATATAATAGAATATTTATTATTTATTTAATAAAAGAATTTATTTATTATTTTATGTGTATATATTAATAAATATTTTAAAAATATTAATGAAAATTTTATAATTATTTATGTGATCTTAAATATTATATACAAGTATTATATGTAAGAGGATAATATTTAAAAATAATAATCAAAACGATGTTTGTAATGAATTTAATTAAAGTTTGAAATTTTTAATTAAAACATTACTAATACATGTCATTCTCATTTAGAATGGAACGGTGTTATCCGCACTGTTAATATGACGAGATATTGAATAAGTATATTACGCATAATGAGATTATGACACAGACACTATGAAATTCTGGTAATTTCTGTTAAGTATAGAAATTCTAATTGAATCTAGTGATGATCATATATAGAATGATCTTCATTCTGAGTTATTAGTAGACTTCTAGTTATGGATTTGTGTCTTTTGATTTATTCGGTACGGATTCCGATGTCCTAAATCATATTCCTTGTATTTTGGAGGCATGATGAAGTGAGTAGCCGAAAATTTTATTATACGAGATGAAATTCATTCATTCTTGAAAAAAAGTAGATAAATAATTCTCTTGAGGGTTGATTCGGTACTTAGACCAGTAGGAGCTCCAATTCATGAATTTGTTTTATGAATCACTGTCCATTAAAGAATCAATGATACTCAAGGATAAAGATGTAATTAGAGAGGTTAACGGATTTCACCTAACTCTAATTATGAATAATTTATGGAGAATTGATATATGTAATAACTATATCAAATGGACACTTCAAGGTTTATATGTAATTTATGTCTATAATTACTAGAGTGCAATTCCAAGTTCATAGCGGAGTAACTTTTAAAATTAATAAAATTAATTAGTTAATTAAAGAGTGTTTGGAAAGGAAATTTTTTTTCCCAAATTTCACGTTGTGCATGTGTTGGTATTCGTGAAAAAACTTGAGTGTTTACTTGTTAATCCCGTTTTGTTTCACATACCTCTTCGTAGATTCAAGGAATTGACGAGAAAAATTCGGATGTTCTAAACTAACTTAGAGCAAGGAACATTCGTGGTCAAAAAACTCAAGTTATGAACCTAATCGTTCGCTAAGTGAATAAATAAATTAGTGCATAAATTAATGTCATTTATAGAGTATCTTAACGTTTTATAAAAATTATCGTTATACACAATCTGCTACTTACACACTTCCGCATTTGAAATTGTTTCGGAAACTAACAGAATCTGATCAAGATCACATCAAATTAAAAAAATATATACAAAACAGACAATTTCTGATATAAATATGATGGCTAAAAAATAAAAAATTATCATTAATTTATTTTTTTCAGTCTTACTAGAGAAACTCCAAAAAAGAACAGGAAAAAAAAGTGATTTCATTTCCTAAAGAAAATTAAACACAGTTATCAACCATTATCAAATTAAGGAGCAAATTGGTTTTCGATATTCACAGCACCCTGAGATTCCGAAGCAATGAAAGAATTGAAAATGGCACGGTGGAAATGTACGTGTCATATAGGTCTCACTTGACGAGAACGTCTACAAACTTCTTATACAAGTGCCCCTTTAAGTACATCCTCTCCACCTTCTCTCTTCCTTTCATCCCCATTTCCTTCCTTGTCACAGGATTTTTAAGCAAAAACTCGAGATTTCCGACGAGAACAGGAGCTCCTGGACTACCAGTGGGATGAAGAAGACCCATCACATTGTGCTCAACGATCTCCTTTGTGCCCCCAGCATCTGTTCCAAGTACCTGATTTCAGTAAAATGAAATCAGTGTAAATTTCTCTGAAATTTAATTGCTTGCTCTCAAGTTATCCATTTGACTTATTTGATAAGTTGTCTAATTTGAAATTCAAATCGACTTAAGTTTGACAGCAGGATAAATGCAAAATTTTACCATATTCTTTACCTGCAGTATGCGCCTACCACAAGGAGGAATCTCATTGTGGTGGCCGGCCAATATGAGGATAAGGGAGAAAGATTTTATTTCAAAATAAAATTAGAAGTATGAGACAATTATTAAGTTTTATCTTAGAGATAAAGTTTATACTCATGGGAGTCTAACTACTACTCGATGAATGAGAAATTGCAGAAAATTTGAGAACACAATTTTTACTCTCATAAGCACATAGTGGCCAATTCAAGAATTGTTGTTATACACAATCCGCTACTTACACAATTCTGCATTTAAAATCGTTTCGAAAACCAACGAAATCTAGTTAAGATCACATCAAAGTAAAAAAAATATACAGAAAAGACAGTTTTTAATACAGATCTGACGGCTGAGAAGTAGAAAATTATCAATAATTTATTTTTTCCAATCTTATCAGAGAAACTCCAAAAAAAAAAAGGAAAAAAAGTGATTTCACTTCCTAAAGAAAATTAAACACAGTTATCAATCATCATTATCAAATTGAGGAGCAAATTGGTTTTCAATATTCACAGCACCCCTGAGATTACATGTCATTTAGGTCTCATGCACTTGACGAGAACGTCTACAAACTTCTTATACAAGTGCCTCTTTAAGTACATCCTCTCCACCTTCTCTCTTCCTTTCATCCCCATTTCCTTCCTTGTCACAGGATTTTTAAGCAAAAACTCGAGATTTCCGGCGAGAACAGGAGCTGTCACATTGTGCTCAACGATCTCCTTTGTGCCCCCAGCATCTGTTCCAAGTACCTGTTTTCAGTAAAATGAAATCAGAGAAGAACTTGTCAAGAATTGTTGTATTGAGAATTTGTGAAAGCATAGAAGAATGAAGATATTAGATGTATAATTCTTTCAGTTGACTGTCGCTCAAATTTCGCGGAACAAGAACTAGTACTTGTTTCATTTTCAGCAGACTTTAACTACCAAGGAAGAAAATAAAGAAAAATTTCATACCGGTAGACTGAATGCCATGGCTTCAAGGGGGAACCCTTGAAAGCTTGTTTACCTGGGAGTTGATGACATAGACATCTGTGGCCGCGTAAAGTGCAGCTACGCCTGTACTCGCTGGAGTCCACAACACTGACTTTGACGTGTTTGGGTGTTGAGATAAATAGTTTAGGAGTTCTTTGACGTAAACCACCTTATTGCTCTTAGATCCAACTGAGCCAATGAGAATTTTAACAGACCGCTAACGCATTCCCCCACTATCTAACATCTCCTTCCTATGAGTACCACCAAAGGCGAAAGAACCTGCATCAACATCAAAGGAGCTAGATAGAGAGAAATAGTTTCTCTGGAAGTCAAGAGGTTCATAGAATAAGTATACGTGGATATTCGTTTGATGATTCACCACCTACCATTCAACTTTTGAAATACAGTTTTCAGGCGATGCTTTCTAGTCGACTTAGACTGGTGATGCTTTATATCCACGGGATTTTTTATATTAGATTTTTCTTCGAAAGCTTCTTTTTCAATCATCAAGCGTCCCGATCCAAGAAGCAAGTGCTGGCCCTTTCCAGGGTTTATACTACTCAGCGATATCACAAGCATATCATTATCTTTAGAGCCCATCTCCTTTCTGGCTGAATCTCTCAACAACTGCCTTTTCTCTATCATCTTGTCTGTAGTGAAAGATGGAAATGCCCGCTACAAAAGCCATTTCATCATTAATGGACAACGGGACGAGTACAGGTTGAGATCTAAGATAAATCTTTTCTTCTTCAGCCCAAGCTATCCATTGTTTCCACTGTAACTCCGAGATAAAAGCCAGCATTTTCACTCGATTAAGAACAACCTTTGCACGATCAAAGTATTCTCACCGGTTTTCCGTAATCCACCAAGCAACTTGACTCGCACCAGCAGGAAAATGTTCGATAAATTGATCTGAAACCACATATTACTTGTTAAGGTAATTTATATGCAAGTTCTATAAAAGCATCAGTAGAAGAAGACAGTGAAAAACACACACGACTATCAAAGAACAGATGCAACACTACTAATATACTAATCTCAGGAGGAGGGAAATAAATATGCCAGAGGAGGGTAACCATAGAATAATACATTACACTTCGCAGCATAAGAGAAAAAAGATGCAAAAAATGTAATGCAACAACTAGCAGCTCGTACTGGCTTCAAAAATAAGATTGAAGACCTTGCT